ATGGCTTGGACCTGCTGTACAGGATGAAGCTGTACTTGTGGGAGCATCGCTGCGTCAGGTACAGATGTTCACACAAACACTCATTCAGTCGGGTCTCTGGGAGCTGCTTTGGTCTCCAGCCGTCACCCTGGACAGGTCGCCACGTAGAGACAAAGATGACACAAAAGCAGTCACACATTCACTCACACCACAGCAAATCCCATCACTGCTGAGGCTGAACGTGCACGGATGCAGTGGGATCTACTCATTCTCTCTCTCTGTGTCTCAGATTGTCCACGGAGAGCGACCGCTGGTAGAGCAGCCAGAGCCGCTTGCGTTCGGTGAGACTAAAACACGTTCAGCTAATAGATTTTATTTGCTCATCCTCCAGCAACTCTGAACCCATTCTCCTCATTCCCAGTTTGACGCCCAGTCCCCGACCATGGAGAAGATTGAGCGTTTCCTCAACAGCGACTTGTTGGAGTGGATCCAAACGCTCACCACCATCCTCGCCAACCTCATCGCCATGTCCATTGAGCCCTACAGCCAGGTAAGATCCTCTAAAAAGTTATTTTATCTGTTTTTGTTTTGTTCGATAATTGAATGTTTGACAGTGAAACACGCCGGTGTCATGCTCTGTGTCCCTTTGGTCCCCAGCTCCCTCCAGGTTCCCCTCATGTTCCCCCTAGTCACTTCACTTGTTTGTAGTTTTCTATTTGTTCAGATTATCTAGTCATATCTCCTTTAGTGTGTTTCCTTCCCCATTTAGGTCATTGGTTTACTTATCTTTAGTTCTTCTGTGTCTTTGTTCTACAGTGTTTAGGTTTATTTTAGTTTAGTAGCTTTGTTTTACAGCATTACGGTCTGGTGTTCTCCCCTGCCTGTTTCTGCTCCTCCTCTCACTTTATTCGTCTCGCCTGTGACCAATTCCCTTAATCACCCAGCCCCTGTATATATAACCTGTCTAGTCTCAGTGTTTTGTTGGTCCATTGTCTTTGTCAGTGTTGTTCTAGTTGCCTCCTGTGCTTTAGAGTTTTTTGTTACTCCTCCAAACCGCTCCTGCCTGTGTAGTTCTGGGTTCTTGTGTTTTGGGTCCAAGCCTCCTACCCTCAGTGTGACAGCCGGACTGAAATGCACTTACAGATGAACACTCACACCATCTAATTCTATGGAATGAAAAGCATGGTCATCAGGCTAATGATGAAACAGTCTAATGTTTTTATTATTATTGTCACCGAGGTTTTATTTTGGCTGCTTCTGTAGAAAGTAGACAGTTCTCCTCTGTCAACTCTCTACAATAAGAGTTTATAACAACTCCAATAGTTTATCAATGTTTTCTGGTAAAAATGTAAAAACCAGCTGAGTGATCTCATGTTCATGATGTTCTTGACTCTGGATCTTCTCCTCCTGAAGCCCGAGGCTCTGACCACAGCCCTGGACACGTGCAACTGCGTGTTCATCGGGATTTTCTCAGTGGAGTTGGTGGCGAATGTCCTCCTGTACAGGATCAAGTACTTCACTGATTGGGAGAATGTCGTGGACCTCGCCATCATCATCATCGGGTAGAAAAATCTCAGTCAACCTTTGCTTTTGAGAACTGATGGTTTATTTTTTGCTGTGATAACCATTTTTGTTGTTTTCTCAGCATCGTGGAAATCGTGTGGCAGACAGAGACCAGACTCTACGTCCTCCGTGTGTTCCGCGTCACTCGGATCAGCATGCTGTCCAACTTCTCTCCTAAGCTACAGAGGCAGTGGGAGATCCTGAAGCGATCCATCAGGCAGTCGCTGCATCTCTCCATGATGTTTTTTTTTCATAGTCTACATCTTCAGGCACGTACACACACACGCATGCACGCACACACGCACGCACGCACACACACTCACACAATTTGCTCTAATAAGGATCTGGCTGACTCTCACTGCAGCATGTGGGGAACGGTGTTATTCAGCTGTGAGGGCTTTCCACCGCCGGAGGTCCAGGGACTCTTTCATCCCCAGGCCAGCTTTGACTCGCTGTGGAAGTCCATGCTCACCGTCTTCCAGGTATTATTTCCTTCCTAATATTCAGTCGTGACTTGACTCTGTTTTTTATAAACATTTATGTTTGTTTTCATTTCAGATCATCACCGGGGACAGCTGGAACGTGATAATGTACAGTGCGATGCTATACAACTCCCCATACACCGCACTGTACTTTATCACCGTCATAATCATTGGGAAGGAACTCCTAAGCTTCCTGGTGGGCATGGTCATGGCACACTTTGACCGTATGGTATGAATCTGCTTCTGCACACCACCACAGAGCGTTTTCTTAATTGTAGCACAAGGAGCCTGAAATGTTTTGTTTTCCCCTGTAGCGGAATATACCTCAGACATCATCATCTGTAGAAACCGACTCCTCCAGGTCCGAGTCTCGGTCGGACCCTTTGTCGGCCTCTTCAGGGCCACCAACCAGCTCGCCGTCTGGACCTGTAAGTTACTCTGAAGCAACCTGTCCTTTAAATCCACTATTTGAGCAGCAACACAACCTTGAGACAGGTGCGTGCAAGTGCTGCTTTTTGAAATGCGTCAATTTTATCACACACACTTTTGTTTATGTAGACGCCCGAGCCCAGCGGAAGTAGCGGCAGCTGGCCCAGCACGGTGAGGGTCAACAGAAGCCCAAGCAATGTAAGTCTGAGACGAGACTTTTGTCAAAGTTCAGATTTTTCACTTGTGTTTTAGTAACAGAGAGTTTGTCTTGTTTCTGTCCATGAATACGAGCAAAGTGTGGTTACTGGAAGTCTCTAAGATGATTTCAAGATCCTGTTAGTAAAGTGTGGTTACTTGTGTTTTTCTGCACAGGCACAGGGATGCTCCAGCCAGAGGAGTAGCGCCGGGTTCCAGAGCAGCTCAGAAGATGGGAGGAGCCCATGACCCGGAGCAGCTCAAAGGTCAAGAGGAGCCCCAGGGCTCAGAGCAGCTCAAAAGTTTAAAGGAGTGCTGCACCGTTTAGTTAATTTTAAAGTTTTAATGTTCAGGTTAACAAAATGTTTAAATTTTGGTTATGAAGTGTTTTAGTGCTTTTGCTCTTGGTGTCAAACTAAAAACTTTGTTTTTGTTTGACAAAGTTGTCATGTTGTTTAGCAACAGTTTGGTGTTTCTGGTTGTTTTGTTTAGATGTAATTAGGTTTGTAAGTGGCTCAAACATCAGGGTGTAAGCATCCTCCTGTCCAGAGGCTTGGAGTTATGCACCATGTTTCAACAAGGCTGCAACGTCACCACGGAAGATGAAGAGTCGTGTTTTTGGCCAGAATCATGCAGAGAGGACTGGCTGACCCCTTTAGGGCCCCTGAAGAAAAAGCTGCAGACACACTCGGATCTCCCAGCCTGTGGTCCTTCCAGCAGCAGAGAGCATCTACTTCAGCTCGTCTTCTCAGCAGAGTGAAGATCTGAAGTTTATCTAAACATTTTGCCATAAAATGCAGAGACATTGAATTATGACTTAATATCTTTAGTATGCTTAAGTGATGCGTAATTAAGACACATAAAAACAGTATTTTAAGCTTTAAAATACACAATAGATGCTACTTGATGTGCCCTCTGGTGGAGGACCTGTGTACTACTGGTGGCTAGTCTGCTATTATTATGCATTCCTTTGCCTCCGCTTTGATGATCTGTTGCTCAGGGAAAAAAGCTAATTCAAAATGTGAAGAACGGTGAGCCCAATGTTCTTCACACAAACATCCACTCAACATTTGCCTCTAAAGCTGCCCTCGGTGAAATGGATCAACCCTTTCCATCCTTATGGAGGCCCACGATTTTGTCTCTGGCATATTTAGACATGAGAGATGGCTGAACAAAAGGATGCAAAAGGTGAGTTAGGCTTAACATGTCCCTTTTAAATTAGATAAATGGTTTTAAAGAGTCTGAAAATTACATTTACAAAAAGTTTATATGTCAAGTTCTTTATTTAACTGCCTTTATTCCTATAATTTAATAAAATAGCATCTATTATATTAAGTTGAAACAGAATCTACTGTAGTGAGAATATTTGTTCCTTGCAAAAATAGGGCCTGTCTAACAGTAGCTGAGATTAGGATTCTCATGTTAACTTAGTTTGCCTTTGAGAAGCTTTCTGGTTGTCTTCATAATTTATTTAATAAACACGTTTGAGACATCTGGTGAGCATCGTTTTCGTATGAAAGCTGCCACTCAAAGATTAAGTTTGTGCAAAATCTTCTCAAGATTACGCACCTTCATGTGCAAGTTCAGAAATTTGTACTAAATAATTTTCTTACTGCTGGTGAAAAAGGACTTGAATTCTTAAAGATGCAGTCATCCTATCAAGAATAAATGTTTTCAGGTTTTTATGGTCCAAACTTTTTCTAATGAGCCAAATTTAGTTTCAGAGGGCCAAGCAACTGTTGCTAATTATTATATCTTTAGAGCCAAAGTATTCACAGAGGCATTACTGGATTGTGTTATCATTTAATGACCGTTTAAGCTCACATTATGTGTACTTGTCAAAAGAATGTGGCTTGTGAAATTTCCCATCAGACAAATAATTAAAACAGGTGTTTTTCCCCACACTTAAATGGTACAAAATGAAGAAAAGGACCCAGAGGTGACATTTATAAAAACTAAACATGTAAAGATGATTTGTTTCCAAAGTAGCACAAGAAATATTTCTGTATTTATGGAGTTGTTTGTTTCTTCTTCGTTGGTTTAAGATGCCTAAAAGACGAGGAACATGTCAGTTAGAAATAAAGCTTTGACTTTTACAGTAATTGGATTGTTTTAGTGTAACTGAGAAGAGAATCACCATCATCCTGGCTTAATTCTGACACATTAGGTCACCAGCTGAGGAGACATTAAGTCAAAATCAGAGATTTCTTGCAGTGTATTAAAGTCTTTGTTGGCTTATGTCCTTCCTTCTGAAAAGTAGCAACTGACGGTCCCACGAGGTGCTGCCAAAGCTCTGGATGAGCTGCATGCCGCAGTGTTTCTCCAGGTGCTCCTTGAGGTGAAAGGCCACGTCCCCCTGGATCTTCAGGGTCTTAAAGTGGTCAAAGTCAGAGCGGCCCAGCTTCCTCAGCCGCCGGGCTGCAGAGCGGTAACACTTCCAGGGTTGGGCCTCCAGCAGAAGGTGCTTGCTGATGGAGGCCAGGTGTGAAAGCAGCTGGAGTAGGGCAGAGTCTCCGTGGTTTAGGTGGACCCACATTGTAACCGCCAGGCACAAACACAGGTGGAAATGGGTGCAGCAGTGCTGTCTGAGGTAGTCCTGCAGCTGCTTCGTGTCCTGGGTGATATCCAGATGCATGAAGGTGATGTTACTGTGCTCAGGGCTGGTCTGTTGTGCTCGACGAATAAGCGTTTCATCCAAGTCGAATCCCAGGAGGTGGACCTTCCTCCTGGGTGGGGTGAGGTCAGACACAACATGCTTGTAGAAGGCAACACTCAGTTCCTGTTAAAGCAGAAGACAGGAAAAAAAATACTGTTGTGGTCATTTAAAAATAGCAACATATTTTTAAATTCTGAGCATATTGCATTTGTTTATTTCACATGGTCTTTTTGCATCTTTATAAAGCAATTATTGTCCAGGTTTTCTCCCTTCAAAGGTTTTCATAAGCTTTTGATAATGAGTTTGTTAAAAAAAATTACGTCAAAATGATTAATATAAGGATTGTCTATAAGGATGAAAAAGAGTTGCACTTTTTACTTTGAAACTGATTATTTTAGTTGGAGACTCACCCACCCCTGAGTTACACCCGACGTCCAGGATCAACGTGTCCTCCTCCCGACTGTCATTGTGCCCTAAATCCCGCAGGAGTGTGGCTGGAATCAGACTCAGCCGGTTCTCCGGAGGGTTGAAGGTGTAGTAGTTAATGAAGTTTCCATAAGGAGCAGCGCCTGGGTCTCCCACTTCATCAACAGATTTACTACAAGTCGGACAAGTTGCCATCGTGACGCGTGTGTGCCAGCTAAATCATTCCGGGTGGAAAACATGACCAGTTTACAATAATTACCTTACACTATTTCACGTATATTTGTGGAAATAGATAAATTATTATGATTATAAAAATAACTCATTTTATTTATTGTTATGTTTTTGAGAAATACACCCAGCCAACAAGTGGAAAGTCAGTGAACGTAGCAGTGCAGATGAACTCCGTGTCGACAGGTGACGCAACAGCTTCACTCGCTGTTAATTCAAACTCCGCAGTTTCCGCTGCTTTACTAAATTGAAGGTAATCTTAAATAACTGGTTACAAAGAGACATCACAATTTTTGGAAGAATACTATTAACCAAAATGGATAGTTTATCTAGATTTATATATCCAGTTTATTCTTTATCAATATCAAATAAAATCATTAAAACAAGTAATAGCTTAAATTTTAACTTTATTTGGAGAAATAAATGCCATTATATATCTAAAGATGATTTGGTTAAACCATACATTGAAGGTGGTGGAAACGCAATTGACTTTGATGTAATGAATGGTGTTTTGAAAGTGAAATGGTTAAAATCCTTCCTAAATAATCCACACTCCATCTGGTTTTTTATACCAAGTAAGGTCTTTAACAAACTGGGGGGTATCGATTTTCTTCTAAAATGTGACTTTGAAATTACTTGGCTACCTATTAAACTTTCTGCATTTCATTAACAGGTCCTTCTTTATTGGAAAATGTTATTTAAACATAACTTCACTCCACATAATAGCCCAATTTGGAACAATAGATATATCCTAATGAACAGAAAATCTATTTTTATCCAAGATTGGTTTTCCAAAGGTGTTTGGGCAATTGCCCATTTTGTAGATAAAGAAGGACATGTTCTAGAACATCAAGATTTTTGCCAAAAGTTTAATGTCCAATGTTCTAAGAATAAATTTAATCGGGTTATAAAATCAATCCCACTGTCACTTAAAAACATAGTTGTAAATGATATAATATATTCTGGCATCTCCCCCAGGTTAAGACAACTATATATAGAAGATTTTGTGATGATAAATGCAATAATAAGTTTCTAAGATCTTCATTAAGGAATCTTTTTTATCCAAATTTACTTAGACGTAATTACATATTAAAAGATTTTCAAAGGGAAGAAATTGAAAAAATAAGAAGTGATTATATCACCTTCCCTATCGCTCCTAAAGGGAAAGAAATACAATTTATAATTTTGAATAAAATTTACCCAACCAATAGACTCCTTGGGGATAGATTCAATATAGAAGCTGGTAATTGTGTATTTTGTGAAACAGAAGAGGAGGACTTAGACCATCTATTTTTTTGTGCAATTTTATACAAATATTTTGGTTAGATTTTCATGCCTGGCTTTGTTCTAGTGGGATTCAAATTGCCCCATTTACCTTAAATATGATAATGTTTGGAGTGTTTTTGAAAGAAAAGAAAGTTAGTTATGGTGTTAATGTATTATTAATTCTGTGTAAACAATTTATACATAAATGTCGATTTTTTAAGACCAAACCAACACTAGCCTATTGGAAAAACGACTTAAAATTATCAATTAAATCTTTGAATTTAGTTAAAAAGAAAAAGGCTGGTTTGTTTATCTCCTTTGTAGATTTTGAATTAGTAAGGTAATAATTTGTTAATTATGTGACCCCATCTTTAGATGTTCTTTTTTTTAAATTTTTTTTCTCATATACGTGAAAATGTTCAATATGCATGTAATGATTATCTTTTGAATATATAATGTAAGGTGCATTCTGTTTGTATGTTATCTTCTCTAATAAAAAAAAAACTAAATTGAAGGTGAGTTTTCAGAGAGCTACTTTAGAGTCTGTGTTGATGCTTTGACATTGAGGCGAGCAAACACACCTTGCTGTGGTCATTGTGCTAAATAATAAAAGGTAGGAGAAAGTGAAAGAGAGCTTTATCGCAGTGGCTTCTGTTGCTAGCTTGTTCGCACTATGAACAACAGTCATATTTTTTGCAGCGTGTTGTTTATTTTGAAGTTATGAAGCTCCTCTGACTTCCTGTTCTGGTTCTTTTAGGGGCCCATCATGGTGTCAGGAAAGCGTCTGGCCGATATTGGCTACAAGGCCTTTTCTGCTTCAATGATGCTGCTGACGGCCTACGGAGGCTACTTGTGTGCGATGCGAGGATACCGCTACTGGGAGAGGCAGAAACAGCTGAAACTGGCTGCAGAGAACCAGGATTCTGAGGTCATTAAAGATTGATGTGACAGGGACTCCCGTTCCTTTGGTTCAAAATGTAAAATAAGGGCAAAAGACCTGATCAAATCGATTTGGGGCCTGTGACATCTGTAATGGCCGAGGATTGTGAGTGATGGTGGCTGTTATTTGTTTTATAATATAATAAAATGCTTAAAATCACAGAACTGAGTAAAAAAAATGTTATGACAACAAAAATCTATTTGAAAATACATTTATACAAGGCACTCATGTGACAATGCAGTTAACAGTTCTACTGGTCCTCATACCTGGATTTGTCTAAAGGCAGTCAAACAACTACATACACATTTGGTCTTGGAGGAAGAAGAAGTAAAAACATTAAAACAAGTTGCAAAGCAGCCTAAAGAGTAAATCCACAGCAGATTGCAAATGGCCGTTCATTTACTGCCACTCATGAAACACACACTTGTGCTTCAACAGCTGATAAAGCACAGCAATATCAACACTTTCCTTTTAGCAGGTGTGGTATCTTTGGTACATTCTTGCTGTGTACTTCCAATTCCATTTTTTGTTTTTGTTTTTAACAAAGAAAAGGTTTCTCTCTACCTTGCTGACAGTTTTGTTTGTGGCTGCAAACATCCTCAGAGCTGATGCTGATGGTGGTGTCACTTCCTACTCCGTTTAGAAACAGACAAGATACCAGCTGGACTTAAATGTGGAGTCATTTACGAAATCCCATGCAAACTGCAATAAAACATACATAGGAGAAACCGGACACCAACTCAACACACAAACAATAAAACATAGAAAGGAGTGTGAGAGAAACAAGTCAAAGACACACAAGAGCAGCAAAACAAGAAGCAGAAAGCACAATAAATAAATCAGCCGTAACAGATCATTGCACAGGAGAAAACCATATAATGGATTGGGTCAACACAAGGATCATAAACACCGAACAACAGAAATACAAAAGACTGATAAAGGAAGCCATAGAGATAAGGAGACGTGGATGTGGGACCATGAACAGAGACCATGGAGTTTACACATTGGATCGTGTATGGGACTGCAACATCAGAGAGGGGAGAGTGGGCAGCAGAGGGCGACAACGTCCTCTGCTGCCAGCAGATACGGAGTAGGAAGTGACGCCACCATCAGCGTCAGCTCTGAAGATGTTTGCAGCTGCAAACAAAACCGTCAGCAAGGTAAAGAGAAACCTTATCTGTGTTAAAAAAAAAAAGGTGTGGTATCTGCTGTGGCACATCTGCTCTGTGCAATCCAGTGTGAATAAACCCTTGAAGGCAAACAGTCAAGTTCATCTGACCAATAAAACTGGGAGAGAACATCAAAACCGACATCTGAAGTCAAACTCTAATCCCAACATTTAGCTAAACGAGATTTTGCAGATCACGTTTGAACAGATTTCTGTGTCGCTGCAGCATTTACGCATCATTTTCAGAGTCCCGACTCTGTCAGTGTCTGCACGTCTGTTGTCAGTTCTCAAACACAGGAATGTGTGCACCCACGCCGTCAGTGTGATGTGTGGGAGTGAGCCAGAGGAACACCCTCAGACTAACAGTAGCGCTGTGAGGGGGGCGAACTGCAGGGGGCTCCCGGAGTTCTCACTCCCACGTCACCAGCTGCTGTGGTTCTGAGTTCTGGATTTGGTGGCAGCAGCAGCACAGTGGCCATTAGTGCCATTTTCTCCCTTGGGGGGGTGGAGGGAAGTCTTAGGGCCTTCCGAGGCCGTCTCTGACTCATCCTCCGAGCTACTCTCGATGTCACTACGGACATCATTACACACCTGGGAGGCAAAGCACAGAAAACAGTAAACAGAAACAAAGGCTAACCTTATATATTCAAAAAATAAAGAGCTTTTCATGTTTATCAGTGCAAATCTGACTATATTTTTTAATATTTCTTAACAAACAACACCTGCACAGATGTAAACAATCAGGGCTGAAAGGTTACAACGAAGCACAGAGGTGTTTGGTAATCTGACAGTTTCTACACATAATTTGCCACAGGGTGGTGGTGTCGGACAATCCCGTCACATTCCGAGCTAATCAGGAACAGTCAGACATACCTGACATTCATGACATGATTGCCACATCACTCAATATTTACAACTTTTCCTCTAACTGCAGACCATGGGTAGAGCTGAGTGCAGCAGCGGCCGTGTGGCTAAATCACACCTGCTGCTTTTAATCCCAAATGGAAACCAGAGGGGACGGATTAAACTTGGACTGTTACTGCAGCGGAAGTCAAGAGAAACTTACAGCCAAACACAGAGAGAAGAGGGGGGTGAAGTTGTCAAGGAGACAGAAGTTGCAGGGAAGCGAGTGAGTAGTGGAGGAAGGACTCAGTGGACAAAGACACAGAGAAAGATTCTCAGTCTGGAGGGAGAGGAAATGAACTGCATCTGCAGAAAGAATAAGACAGAGACAGTGGGGGGGGGGGGGGGGGGGGGGGGGGCGCAAATCCATCACCAAAAGTAGAAATCAGCTGTACAGAGACACGCCTGGGGTGAACATTTGTCACCAGATCCCGACTACCTGAATGTTGCAGAATTTAGTAGATTGTACGATGTAGGCACTATAAACCACTGCGAAGAAAACACACTGTTACCACCCCTGGTTTCATGCCTCTAGAAAAGTTGCTGTACTTAGTTTTGTTTTTATCTGAGTGTACAGCCCAGCTCTCAATATTCTTCAGCCTGCAGCCCAGGGGATTCAATTGGCTTTGTTCCTGGTTCCACCGCCCATCACCTGGGGCCAGCTGGGAATCATCCAACAATCACCTGGGACCAGCTGCGACTCATCCAGAAATCAGCTGCTGGGTGGCATATAAGAGACTTCCTGATCTGCCTGCAGTTGGGGAGCAGCTGATGGTGTGCTGTTCCCCCCCCCCCCCCCCACTTGGTCAGCGTTGTTGGTACTATGTGCTGTTAAACTACTGTGAAGGATTACTAGTGAGATATTGTTGTTTAGAAGCTTGGTTAGACCTAAAGGTGGTTAGTGTAGAGTTAAAGCTCCTCTGGTTGGATTTAGGGATAGTAAATGCTATTGCCTCTTTCAGTTGAAGTCCTTCTGAGCCTGTGTTTTTTGTCTGGTATATTCACAGCTATGAGAGCTTTAAGTTAATATTGTGAATGCCCTGTTTGTTTGGTAAGGTTTGTCTCTGTTAGTATTTATCTGTATATTGTAAGTTTATTTATCTGCTGTTTTTCTTTATTAAATGCATGTACTCCTCCCATTCCATCTGGTCACAGGTTTATGTTACCGCCTTACCTTCCTAGCATAGCCTGGACGTAACACACACACACACACTGGCCTCAAATCAGCAGTACTGATCTCTAATGATGTAACAACAGTGAGTCGCCGCGGTCGGCTGCTCATCCTGGGCCAGGTTCTGTTGGAGGTTTCTTCCTGTTAAAAGGGAGTTTTCCTCTCCACTGTCGCTACATGCTTGCTTAGTATGGAGATTGTTTAAAAGCCTCTGATGCAATCTGCTGGGCTTCTTATAAAGGAAACCTTTAACTTATTGGCATAACGAACTGAACTCAGTTGGAATGTTTACTTTGTGACGAACCTTGGGACGACTCTGGTGAATTGGCGCTACATAAATAAACTGAATTGAACTCTAGTGAGAAGTACAAAACCACTCGCCTCATAAAGAAACTAAAGGAGATGAGGTGTGCGGCTCAGGTTGTGTTAAACACAGTGAAGTGAAAATAACTGGTGATGCCCCAGGGAGGAGATTAATAGTTTTAATCACTTATGTTTATAAAACGCACCAATGTTAGGCTTTAATCACCATCTACTGAACTTCTGTCTGTGGTTCCAGATCACAGAAATGATCAGACAAAAGCATAAACGGGGTATGTTCAGGGATCTCAAAATTAAATGTAATCCATTTTCAAAACTTTTTATGACATTGTAAAATATTTAAGACTTTATAGCAATGAACTAATTAACTATTAAATACTCATATTTTTAAATACAGTACTGCGTAAAGTCACATAGTACGGAAATGTAAGCAAACAGCTGGCATGAAAGAACAAAAAATTTACTTATTTTATTAGTTTATGTGAGTCTATTTTTGACAGACAAAACTTAATTTAAATACACATCAATACTATTCAAATGTAAGCCTTTACTAAGTTGATTTACTTTTTAACGGTCTTGATTTTTCTTCAATCCATTTAACAGGCTTTAATACTTTTTAAGACCCCGCAGATACCCTGATAAAGTACTCACTGAAGTTTTTTGGTGTTAAATGCAACAAAATTATATTTATTGTAGCTTTGAAAAAATAAAAAATACCTCAATTGTCACATAAGAAAAGCTTGAATTTTTATCCTTTAAAGTGATTTTGTAAACTGATATTGTAAAATAGACATAATCGCATCAGAGCTATCTGAAAAGCCATATCTAAGTTAATTTTTCTTTTCGCACTTTCTGTCATTTTCTTGTAGTTGAATGACTCAAATGTTGGCGCTGGAGTAAAAAGAAAAACACAGAAATTTCACAATCTGATGTTGAACCATTTTTTTAAAACGTTGGCTCGAGAATTTTGGACAATTTCACCTTTAAGAGAACGTGGTGGCCATGGCAGTCTCAGATCAGCTAATTTAAGGTTCTGCAGGACTCGTGCTGAGTCACTGCGACTGTTAAAATGTAAACCTTATCCTACGAAGGTAAACATCCAGACAAAGGTTATCCTACAGGGATGTATTTCCTGGAGGTAGAGACAGGAACAGGTTTTACAGGCTCTCTTTTAGTTTTTGGATTATAGGAAGTCAGATTTAGGAAGTTAACTTGTTCTAGTTCATGGAATAATTCAGACTAACAAAAACTACTTGGCAGAAGTGCATTTGTGTGGTTCCTGAAACTCCCAGAACACCAAAGCAAAAAACAAGAATTCGGTTGTGATTAGAAAGGTAAATCAGTCTCACCTTCCCTCGCAGCAAGGCTTTAAGAGCTATACGGAATATGAGGTACGACCAGAAGATGTGCAGCACTTGGAGGACTAGCAGTAGGATGTTGAAGAGCCACCAAGATGGAAACGGCCCGACGATGGCCCAGCTCTCAAACATAGTAGAGTTCAGGACCCTGGAGAAAAAACAATAAAACACATGAAAACAGACTTAGAGAAAATGTTACTTGAGTACTGTGAGTAACGAGTAACTGAGCATTAACGTTTGAATATGGCGTCTGTCAGGTTGTTTTTATCGACGTCCAAGCGCTCGGTCCGTGTGTTTTTAATTGATAAATGCGGTTCGTTTGTCTAGCACTTGCACCCAGCGGCATTTGAGCAGTGACATGAAATGCAGACTACGGTATCGGGTTTTAGTCGTACCCCAGATGTAACAAGATGGACGTCTACCAAAAGGTTCCACTGACAGTCCGCAGAATTTTTGCTCCAAAGTCTTTGGAATCACAGAAATACATTTTTGAGGAAAATTCAGCCAGATCTAGGAGCTCCTCCACATATGCACATTATTCCTCATTTCTTTCTAATTGTTCAAACGTGACCTCTAACCCTAACCTCAACCAGGAGAGGCCTGCGATGCTTTAGGTCTTCTGGTCTTCTTTAGAACATGTGTTGCTTTTTGAGATCCATCCATCATGTTTTCAGGCAGGTTCTACTGAAGAGGTTGCCTCAATCTAAAAGTCTGATGGTAATCGCACCTGGGTGTGGTTAGTAAACACGAACTCAGCTTTCCAAACGCTGTGGTTAATCACAGTCCCTGACCTCCTTGCTACTGTAAATCATGAATGACATATTTCACAGAGGGCCTGTTGGTTTGATTAGTTTTCCCCTCGTAATGAACAAAACCATTATTTGAAAAAACTGCATTTTATAATAACCCGGGATATATTTGAATCTGTTGTTGAATGGAATCTGTTTATTGATCTGAAACATGTCTGTGGGACAGAAAACATTTGTAAGGGGTAAAAACATTTTATGCAGCACTGAATGTAACCGATTGAGTTTAATGTAAAGCGAGTCATTGATGAATTCACCCATCCCCTTAAATCCTACTAAGGGATAAAAGGTTGTCAACAGACCCACCTTCCCCTGCAAAGGTATGGATTTCAGTCCTCTTAGCTTCAGTAGCAACTCTAGCTATATCATTCATCCACACCAAGACACTGAATATAGCTGCTCAGGTTACTTCTGCCAATGATAGGTTCCCTATTGTCTGTCTCTCAGGCGGCAGAGCTGCAACGTTCAGGTCTCTTTTGAGGAACAGTCTTTCTCTAAACGTTCCCTAACATCTAAAGGTCAGCACACACCTCAGAGGTCTGGACAGGAAATGGAAGGATGGCTCAGTGATCTGACAACTCAACATACGTCCTGGGACATTAGCTTATCTGGTTTGCAAACTGGATGCAAACTGTTACATGACTGGGACATTGTGGTTTTCCTTTGACAGCCTTGTGTGATCTCGTAAAGGGAGGCTTTGTGAGTTTTGCATCAGTGTGTGTGCTGAAACAAACACCACAAATGAGTTGGATTAAAAAATAAAAGCTTCTAATCTGCTGCTCAGACATCATCAAACACAAATGAAAAATAAGACAAACAACTTTCAAAAAGCACATTTGTTTCAATTCTTGCCCAAAACACAAATTCTTAAAAAAACAGAGCAACATGATTTAGTTTAATGCACCGTAAGTGTCTCGTTTCCACTCACCATAATGGATATATAACAAGTCGTGTGATGAAGAAAACCACACTAAACACGATGAAGAGGAAGTCACACAGGCGCTGGTACTTGGCATAGTTGGCCATTTTGGCTGCCTGTTTAAAAACAAACCCCAGAATTCAAGATTATAATAAGATTGTAAAATGAAAGAGATGCAAAGTCATGCAAAAGTCATTATCCCTAATCTCAGCGGAGGATTACACTGTGTGATCTCTCTGAAAAGGATGATTGTTCGCTGTCGTTTCTGACCTCTAGCAGGAAATCAGAGGTATCGTGGACACACAGCACAAGGCTCCCCACTCGTGCCATGTTGTTGGCGTAGGAAAAGCTAACGAGGCCCACTGTTGCTAGGTGATGGATGAACATGACCAAGAAGTCCTGGAAGTTAACAAAAATAAGGAGAGAGATGGTCTGCGTTATGAAATAACTATTTTAACATGTTTTAACCAGAAAAAGGCCTGAGTAGAAAAGACAATTGGTGTTTTGAAGACCTGATGAGAAAAAATTGTGACAGATATACGATTCATAACTTAAGAAGAAATCCCTTAAACATGTTGGGGCACGGTGGAGGAAGCTTAATGGTTTGGGGCTGCTTCAGAGCCTCGCGGAGAGGAAAATGTACAGCCATTAATTATCTCCAAAAATTAAACATAATCATCTGTTTTGAAAATCCACCATTTTCATCTGCTTATCTGGGTCAGGTCACAGGGGAGGCAGCCTAAAGTTAAAGTAAAAAAAGGTTAAAGTCCCACTAGTTGTCACACTGGTGTATGAAATTTGTTCTTTGCATTTGACCCATCCCCTTGGGGAGCAGTGAGCTGCAGACACAGGCTCAGGAATTATTTGGTGGTTTAACCCCCCAATTCAACCCCTTAATGGTGTGTGTCAAGCAGGGAGGCGCTGGGTCCCATTTTTAAAGTCTTTGGTATGACCCAACTTAAACAGAGAGGCCCACACTTCCCTCTCTCCAGCCACTTGGAGCTCCTCCAGGGGAATCCCAAGGTGTTCCAGACCAGCTGAGAGACATTGTCCCTCCAGCATGTCCTGGGTCTTCCTTTAGGTCTCCTCCAGGTTGGATGTACCTGGAAAACCTCCCAGGAGGCATCCTAACTAGATGCCTGAGCCACCTCAGCTGGCTCCTCTCAATGTGGAGGAGCAGCGAGTCTACTCCAAGCCCCTCCTGGATGACAGAGCTTCTCACCCTAGGGAGAGCCCAGACATCCTGCGGAGAAAACAAATTTTGGCAGCTTGTATCCATGATCTCATTCATTCAGTCACTACCCAAAGCTCGTGACCGTAGGTGAGGGTAGGAACGTAAATCGATCTGTAAATCGAGAGCTTTGCCTTACAGCTCAGCTCTCTCTTCACCACAACAGACCGGTACAACACCTGCATCACTGCAGACACAGCACCAATCCACCTATCAATCTTTTGTCTGATGAAACCAACAGGGTCCCTTCACCTGCATTAAGCTGAGAGTCAATCCTTAGGACACTAAAATGGATCCGCTCAGCACCTTGGCTGTGTCTAGAAATCCTGTCCATAAAAGTTTTGAACAGACAAAAGGCAGCCTTGGCGGAGTCCACCTCTCAGTGGAAACAAGCCCAACTTACAGCCGGCAATGCTGACACCGGTCATACAAGGACCTAACAGCCGGTATCAAAGGGCCTGGTACCCCATACTCCCAAAGTACCCCAGGGTCCAGGGCCAGATTAACACTTTGTTGTACCCTGGGCAACAATATTAAAGGGCCCCATCATCACGACCCAAGGATCACCATACTATGGTCACATACAGAATATTTTACTGTAATATGCAGTAAATATACTCAATACTTGAATGCCTGACATCACATAACCCGCTCAGGGTAGCCTTTGACACACCTCGTGTGGACTGACCAATGAGGAGAGGGTCTTAACATGAGGCCCTCTCTTCATTGGTCAGTCTGCATGAGACTGACTCTAAACTGACGTTCAGTCATAGGCAGCGAAGCGTCTCTGTGCAGCGCAAAAGCCCGGGTGGACAGTTTGTTTAATATAGGGTGATCATATTTCCATTTCCAAAAAAGAGGACAGGGGATCTGTGCCTATGACGTCACACTATGACAACGCCACACAAACTACGCTGGGACCCATTTTTTTGTAAGAACTAAAATTAATATCAGATTCTGCCAATAAAAGGGCTCTAAAACAATTCATATGTAAATATTTAGCATATTTATTGCACAATCTCATTTTTCTGCTTTAGTGCTGCAACAAGGTTTTATTAATAATAAATTATTATACCTTTTGTTTTACTACAGCATCGGTACGCTTCCTGTGCACAGATTATTAAGGATGCTTGTTTCAGCTGTGAGATTAGACGATAGGATCAATGAAAAATAAGTTGTCACACACTCCATGGAAACTTTCAGAGAATCCACAAATAGTGGCTTTCAAATGGTTTTGTTACTTTTTGCAAGTTTAGAAAAGCAGCAGATGAGACAGCATGTCTGATAATTTAGTTTTTCATCTGATAACATGTCAGTAATGTCTGAGGGACTTTTACAAACACTGTGTAACTAATACTCCTGGGCAGGATATGAATTACACAGAGGCTTCTGGGGGGCCCAGTTATGGGGTGGAGGGTGTGCTGTATTGCCTTGGTCCCCAAAATGCCTTGAAACGGCCCTGGGTGTGTGACTGAGTTTTGAAGGTGATCTGAATGGTATCAGATGTATAAATATTACATGTGTGTAACCTACTGTTTTATAAAATATGTAGTGGAGATAAATCTACCTACATTTTACTTTTCAACACTTTGTTTTGTTTTTATTGAACTATTTCCTGTCCTGTCTGTCTCTCATCTTCCTGCATCTCCTCTAAACTCACCAGAAAAGCTGCTGCCTGGATTCTTACTTTTTCACCTCATCAGTTACTTTTGAGCCGATCAAAGGGATCTCCTGACCGCAAAGCGGGGAGCGCGTTTCGATGCTGCGTCAGTGAGGTGAAATCACTGCAGCACAGGTGATGAGCTCTGCAGTGGCAGAGCGCTTCAGGCGCAAATAAGACAGAAAATAGAGAACATGTGCGGACATGAACGATCGTGTGTTAATTATAGTTTTTTGGTTGCGCCACTTTGAGAATGGACCGTGCGCTGGACGCAGCAGCCCGGAGAGCACCAACGACGCTGAGTCCATAAATGATGTAAAATAGGTAGAAACGTTTTTTCCGGCTCTCCCTGGATGTGTAGGATATCCAGCCCCCTCATAATTCGATCCCTGCTCCTGGATGAAAAAACTGACATTTTCTTCAATACAGTTCTTTTGGTTGACATGGATCCCACCTGTCCAGGACGTGACTTTAATAGGGTTTCATGTTTGTTTAGTGAGCATCAGTTACATTTTTATAAGCATTGGTAAGGTCTTAAATATGATTCATACAACAGCAAGATATTAAAAAAGAAAAATTACACCATCAGTCAAAAAAGTTCTAATCTAACTTCATGTTAGTGTTTGAGTCACGCAGGAAGACTTGGCAGCAGAAGATACAGATAAAAGATTAAAAACAGAAATCCTTCCTGCAGGAGAAAAAACTCAAACAGAACCAGTGTTTTGAGACAACACCAAAGAAAAGAGTTGTATTTGACTGAAAAGAACTTTGATAATTTAAAAGACATTTATCAGGTTTTTGTGGTTCTGCAGCCTAATATTGTGGAAAGTCACACAGTTGTCCTCTTAACATCTTCTGACGATCGAACACAGAAAAGTACCAACGGATCAAAGACAAACTGCCGTTATCATCATATAATAACAAGCAGATTAAGATGATAATAAACCAGTCTGAAACAAGCAAGATCATATTCCACTATCTGCAGTGTAACATTATGTAAAGTGTGTGTTTGCCTCTAGTTCTGGAATTCTAGGGGATTTATGCAATTCTAACAGACCGAGGCCTGCTCCATCTTGCAATCACATGACAGCAAGTGCCCTCATGCAGAAAAAACACAAAGTATTCACAGCCAGAGCAGCATCAGCTGCAGTCCGCCACAAAAAACAAAATAAACATGTGGCCTACTTTATTAATCAAAAGTAGGAGTCAGGCTGGCTCCTGATGCTCCGAGCCGCATCCATAACATTGAAAAACTTAGCATCACATGAACTCCCACTCAATCTCTGTCAGTGCCAAATGAGGAACAATAGACGTATTGACTAATGTTTAACAGGGTGTGTCCACGGTGGAGATCCACGGCAACAGACACCAAACTAGTGTTGGGCTCACCTTCCTTTTTATGTCGATGAACTGGGAAAACATAAGAGACCAGTAGAAGGCCAGCTCAATCACGTAGTAGTGATAAAGGCCTGAAGTCATGACCTGAGGAGACCAAGAGATGAGTTCAATCAGCAGCTTTGTTTGTTCTTCAGTGTGTCGAACACACACACAGAGGAAGGAGATCAAACATGTCAGAAGATTTATTTTTGTTTTTCCTTATTTGTTTGCTGCAGCTGATTTTTATTTCCCCACCAGGCACAGCTACTAGCTCTTGAAATATGAGAATCTTCTTTGGAAATATACGAAGCAGGGGGCTGGAGCAGTCAGGTAAGTGTTTTTATTAGATGCAAATAAAAAAGTAACGTTTTGACACCATGACAAAGACATACATTGTGCCGAAACGTTACTTTTTTTTAAAATTTGCATCTAATAAAAATACTTTCCTGAGTGCTCTAGGCCCCCTACTTCTTATATCTGATTCTCCATCAGCTGCAAAGTAAAGATTGATCTGTGAATTTTTCTGGCAGGAATTCTGATTTAAATTTCGAGTCACCATGTTCTTTAAATCAAGCTTGAGCTGTAGGGGTGCAACGGTACGCTAAAATCGTATTCGGTTCTGTTCTGCGTTTTGAAGAGCTCAGTTCGATTAAATTGCGGTAAATTATTATTATATTTATTTAATCTAAAGCGGCTCCTATAATGAGCAGAACCAGGTGTCATCATAGGCTGCTGATCTAGGGCGAGGTCTTTGATTATTTCACAGGTTATTTGTGCAGCTACGAGTGTCACACTCATACAGACAAGTGTTGTGTTTGACTGTTGATGCTCCGTGTTTTTATTTCTGCAGCGAGCCTTAAAAACTCCCCTCACACTTCCCAGTTTCTTCTTTAAAACTCGTATTTAAATAACAAGCTTCCTCCGCGCCGTATGTTTCGTTGTAGGATGAAAACTTTACATCAATTGTCCCGGGGGAAAAGATCAGTTGACATGTTTGTTTACATTTTTGCCGTTGCATGCTGGCAGAGTGTGAGAGAAGGGAGGGAGAGGCGACGCTCCGTTCAGCATCTCTACAGGCTCCAGTAGCAGCGACAGCCAGCTGGTTTGATCTGCTCTGAAAGGCGTTGATCAAAATTTGCAGATCACATTTTTAAACGGAGATCAGGCACGTGCAGCCATCGTGCGTCACTCAATACAGCGTCCGTGCGGAAACTCGCCTAGAAACATTTATCCGCTGCACTTAAATCAGGCAAATAAAAATTCCTTATTTAATGGAGAAAATAAACCGAAACGGTACGCAAGTGGACCGAACCGAACCGATTCAACACTCCCCCATGAACTGTTACACCCCCATTCAGCACAATATTCACCGTGTTCAGTAGAACTTATAAACATGATCATCATTTGATATTTTTCAGGGCAGCCTGAATGAATGTTAATAATGTTGACTGTAGCAGTGCCACCAAATAAATAAATAAATACACAGAAAAATGACCAAATGCACTTTTATGTGAGGCTGAGGCCTTCACTGGAGCAAGCAGGAGGGCAGCTGCTAGCGCCGTCAGCTCATCTGCTGCCTGTCAATCAAAAGGACACGCCCCTAATTATTCATCATTTTAAGATTTAATTAAATCTAAAGTGATGAGTTACAAAATAATGCAACCCCCTCAGAGTTGTCATTACAGTAAACTTGACCTTTTAAACCTAAAACAGTTTTTCGTACCAGGTTGTAAACATGTTTATCACTGCTGTGAAGTTGGCATTTTTACATGGAAGTCAATGGGGACTTGGTCCTTTCTGGATCCATCCCCTAGTGGATGAAGGGGGAACTACAGTTTTTGTCACTTCCGTACTAGCTTCAGTTACTACAAGCGGAGTTTGCCCCTTGGTTGAAAAGGATTAGGAGAAGAGAAAAACTTTAAAATCTGAGCTTTCATGCACCAGATTAATTAGATTAAATTGCCAGTAAAATGAGGATGAATCACAAACAAATTAAGACACTTTGAGACTAAACTGAGGCGAGGATATTTGCAGAACATTCACAAAAATTTGTAGTTTTTTTACATAAGTAAAACTGTCCTAAGAACCACTTCAGTGCGAGTCTAACTAAATAAATATAAAATGTATGCTTCCATCAAGTTGCTAACAACTGCTGCCAGCAGTGGGAATCCGGCACAAATGTGTTTTATTTAAATTTGTACAATTTTTGCACGGTACAGAAAATATTTAGTACAGTGTTAGTCATTTTCCAACAACAAAAACAATCAGAAACACTAGTGGCAATGACTTTTATCTTAAATCCAACCAATGAAAAAAAATAATAATAAAAACAAAATCTAACACAATACATACTAATGGAGATGTGAACAGTGATTTGTTTGCATTTTACCTTATCAAATTACATTTTTATGGCACATTTGTATGAATTTAAATAGAAATGGGATTCATATAAACAGGTTTCTCCTGTCACACGCTGCTGTTTATTCAAGCGAAAGGTGTGACAGAATAAGGTCAATAGTGACTTCCTTTGTGCACGTGGTTTTGTTTATTTGGTGCACATGCAAAAAGTAATACAAATCCAGTTTAATCCCTCACAGCAAGTAGAGTGCATGTGTCACACTTTGCTGGTCTTGTTAGCTGCAAAAGCGTTTTACAGACACGTGTATTCGTGGACAGTCCTGGTCTATAAACTGAGTGTGTTTCTTTATTTTGATGCTCATCATATTGACATGGGAAGCCCCTGCCTCCACATACCATAAACAACTACACACTGAAAATGTTGGTTTAGGATTTACTTCTTGAGGGTGGAGCAGCATCTCATAAGGAGTGTGCAAAAGATTAATGCATTTGAGAGCTGCAACCTACCTGATAGGGGTAACCGTACCAACAGTGACGCGTATCCCATAGCCAAGGGGACTAGAAGATAAAAAGGTGCATTGAAGCCTACTGATGATATCATGATGACAAAATCAGCGATGAGTGGATGTCCTCACCTGCCACAGAAACTGGAGCCCATAAATAAATATGCCCAAATAAAAAGTAAATCTCCACCTAGAGATAAAAAAGAAGGAATGACTGGTTTCACATAAAGTTAATAAAAAATGTTTCCAACAAAAAAGCCTGCAGATGAAACCTACATGCTCTCGCAGAACTTAGTGTGTGTGCCGGGTTTATCCTGGTTCCTGCGGTGTCTGAACCATCGCTGGACTTTCCGCACATCCCAGTCCAGCTGCTTGGACAGGCCATCCAGATGGCGAGTGTCTGGGTTCTATAACAAGACAAAATGTTATGTAATAATTATTTTACTACATAAAAACTGTTGAAATTTAGCTTCCAACTTGGAAACCAGGATTTTCTTTACCAGTCAGCAGTCTGATGTACATGCTGTACATCAGACTGTTCTAAATATTTGACACAACTGCTGTTTTAAAGCAGGACAGGAGGACGTGGCGCTAACCGTTGTGATTGAAGTAAACACCTTCTCCAGCACGGCATTTGGCTGGGCTCTTCTTCCAACGCCTGCCTGGATGTGGAGACGTCGAGCGCAGGCACTGGCAATAAATCTGTGACAGGAGACAGAAAAGGACAGTCACTCTACGTTCCCACAGGACCAAAAACAACTTCAACTTATTCAACCGGGAAAAGTAGCTTTCAGTTGAAAAAAATATTACAATGAGATAAACTTTCCTTTCAGATTTGGGAAATGGTCATTTTAGAATTTTATAAGTTCATAAGTTCAGCCCCAGATTGGTTTCTGCTAAAAACTATTTGAGGTTTTGGTGTAAATGAGGTGATACGAGAAAAGATAACATTGAGCCATTCCTGTTCTGTCCCCAGGCTTTCACAATGTAAGAGATTATGTCAGGAGAATGTTTGCCTCTCTTTGCCTTTAGAAGTTCTTGATAAAACTGTACACACCAGTCTGATTCATCTAACAAAAAACCTCTGAACTTAGCCTAACAAGTGGTCTACAAATTCCATTTTAAACACACATTGTGCAAGTTATACTTTCTGTCAATTCTGAAGTTGCAGAAACAGCTGAGACAAAAACCTAAAGTCTGATTATGTTGGACTTTAGCATGAGTTTGATACTGATTCTTTCAAATTTGCGATTCTAAGAAATAGCGTTGGGCATCGTTTGATTTTGAACATTCCGATTCCAATTCCAATTCCTTGTTTCGATTCCGGTTCTTGTCGATTCCCAATTCCGATTCTTTCAAGACATGACAAGCTTTACATGAGCCAGATAACCACAGGTCCTACTTGATGAAATAATCTTAACTTCAACATGAATTTTAATTCTATGAACAATAACATCACCTTCATTTAGACAGAAACGTGTTTTGGAGAAAAAAAGAAAAAGACACAAGCGAAACATAGTAGTTCCCGCTGCTTCTTCGGAAAACAGCGCCCAAAAATAAAGAAAGAAAAAAAACTTGGGATCGTGTAGGCGTGGCGGTGGGATTTCAGCCGTGGGGGGGGGGGGGGGGGGGTACTCGGTGCTGCACACAGACAGCTGGTGTCATCAGCTCTGAAAAGCGTTGATCACAATTTGCAGATCACGTTTATTTTTCACGGAGATCGGCCGCGGATTCCTCTTCCGGTCGGCATTCTAGGAATCGAAACTAGGAATCGAAATAAAAAACTTTGAACGATTCCAGGAAAAACTAACTGTTGGAACCGGTGTCGGTACAGGATCTGCTCGGGTGCAGGATCGGCTCGGGGTCCTTCGACTGCCGATGACATCAAAGTAGTTGATTGGCTGAACATGAAGCTTACGGAAGTTACGTTGTCACGTTATGATTTTGATTGGTCAGAACAAAATTGCGGTTGTAGTCCTAGTGGTTGTAGACCTGTAGTCCAAAAATCAACACTTTTTGGAGAAAATATGTTTGAATTTCTAAAGGAAATGTAAAATATAAGCAAATGATAGACGGTGACCCTCAAAAGCTCTTGATGTTGATGAAATGGGGCAAAATAAAATATAAAAACTTTATTGAAAGACACAAAGCAATATTTTGAGTCAAAGAATGTATTTAGATAACAACTAAGGAAATATACAGACGAACTCCACATTAATACAAACAGATATGGCTTCACATTTAAGAACTGTTTTATTTTTTGTCAGTCCGATGTTGGTTTTATGCAGTTTCACATTCTTTACAAAACAAAGATCATATGGTGTTTTATTAACAAATTACAATTATAAAGAAAACATTTAGGTGTTAACAAACAAGAATTTATTAACAAAACTGCTGATGTCTTTCCAAAACGTATGTGTGAAAGCCGAGCAGATTTGCAGTAATGTGACGTCATCGGCAGTCGAAAGACCCCGAGCCGATCCTGTACCGACACCGGTTCCAATTGATGCTCCATGCCCAACCCTACTAAGAAAAACATATCATGTATAAAAATTGTCTTTTTTTATTGTGCAATCATTTTTATTCCGTTGTCCTATGAGCCAGAAAAATTCCAGCGCCATCCAAACTGATCAAGACATAGTAATCCAATGTAAAGAAGTTCCACTCTAAGGAGCTCATTGGGGGTCAGATAGGGAAATCATTTCAAAGTAAAAGAAATTCATTCCCTCAGTTTGGTCATTTATGCACACGGACTTATAGTTTGCTACGGCTAGGGCTGCACAATATATCGAAAAATTATCATCATCACGATAACAGGACGTGCGATAGGCCCAATGAGAGAAGTTGCTGTTGCATTCAAGTGATGTAAACTATTATTTAAATGACCCGCAGTTGTAAAGCGCCTCTCAGAGTAAGGACTCCAAAGCGCTTTACACTACAGTGTATCATTCATCCATTCACACACACATTCACACACTGGTGGTGATGAGCTACGATGTAGCCACAGCTGCCCTGGGGCGCACTGACAGAGGCGAGGCTGCCAAGCACAGGCGCCACCGGACCCTCCGACCACCACCAGCAGGCAACGTGGGTTAAGTGTCTTGCCCAAGGACACAACAGCAGAATTCTCTGTCCAGAGCCAGGATCGAACCTACAACCTTCTGATTACTGGACAACCCGCTCAACCTGTTGAGCTACTGCTGTCCCACATTTAAACCTATTTTCTGACTTTTTTATTTTTTCAAAAAACCCTGGTAAGGGATGTTTTTCTGTATTTGGAGCGTCAGAAAAAGTTTTATGGTGGAGGTGATGTTTTAAAGTCACTGAGAAACTGCATGCATGCAGTTTGTTGTTTAGCTGCTAATACAGAAGCAGGTGCAGCTGCATATTTTTGCAATAAAAATGTTATGTTGTAATGGAATTCATGCATTAGTTTTTGTTTGCTTTAAACCCAGAGCAGACGTCACACGCCAGACGACATCAACACTGCATACTTTAGTATTTGTTAATTTATCGTGAGTAATATCGATATCGCAATATTAAGTACTGTTATCGAATATCGCAGGTTTTCCTAATATCGTGCAGCCCTACCATGCACACTTTTTTTAAGTGTTCCTTTGTTTTAGTAATCTGTTCACGTGGATTTGTAATCCATTCCCTCCCTTTAGTAGAGCATGAGCAGATTCATAATTTCTTTGCTCATTTTAGTAATCCACGAGCATAGATTCATAATCCATTCCCTTGGTTTAGTAAACTGTGTGTACAGATGTGTGATCCCTTGCCGTGCCAAGGTAGTTCAATAAATTTCCTTTATAACATTCTCATCTTACAAACTATGAACTGTAAAATCTTAAAGTTCCAACATAAACAGAGACAATTCTGCGAAGAAGCTGGACTGGACAGATCAGTTTCACATCACGGTGTTAAACATTACCCAGGGCAATCCAAATTTCATTCTTCTGCATGCAGAGCATAAAAAAATGACCAGCAAAATCAGCCTGCAGCTATCTGCGTTTGGCTCTTCGATAGCCTTAAATCTGGTATTGGATATCCAGCAATCTCTTTCTGTTAAATAGTTACTCAATCACACACTGGGGTTAAAAGATGAGCTGTTATAGGACAAAGTAAGGCAACAGAATTAATAGAAGAGGATGAATCAACATCCCACACAAGCCAGAGCCTGCAGTACTAATAGTCAGACAGCAGCAGGAGAGGGATGAATGATTTGTAAGCAAATCTATTTTTGTCAAACATCAAAACATCCCTGTTTCTTCTCCGATACTGGCCTCTCCAACATACACAAAGCCTGTGTAACCAAAAGATGGGCTTGGTGTGGTCTGTTTACATGGACACTTGTGGTCCTGACACCCTTAAAGAGAAGAACACAACCCTGATACTGGAAAACCTCCCAGTACCACGACTAAGGAGCACGTTCGTCTCTATTCACAGCACAGAACTGGATTTAACTGAAGCCTTCATGAATGCAATTATGAGGCAGACTTTCAGAAAAAAATAATCTCATGTTTCTCAGACATGTGCCAAGAGAAAGCACAAGGGAAGGGTTTTAGGCATGCCGTCAACATTTTTTTTTCACTGCTCACTTCCTTAAAAGGAGAGAGTACCTGTTGGTTTATGAGGAAGCACAACAGACCGCGTCCCTACCTATAATGTCACAAACATCTCAGTCCGTAGTCTGTTAAACACATGACACGGCTTACTGGAGCATGCACACACACAGCAGCTCACTTGCTCACATCTACCAAGGCAGTGTCGGCAGAAAAAGCAACAACTATGATCAAACAAGACTGAACTGGCTGGGAAGAAGTGGGCGGGAGCCTGGGTGGACAACAACTATCTTGCTTGTCAAAGAGAAGAACTGCCTGCACATAAATAAAGAATCATGCAGACATATTTGATTTAAAAAGTATTGTCCAACACTTCTAAAGAAGCGCTCCTTTTGCTGACGATTGCAAAAATCATGAAGATGTTTCATAGCAATCGGATAAGTAAAGGCACTGCAAAAACAAAGGCATGAAAACTGTGTCACCTTCTGGTGAAACCTGTTCTGTCTCTTCCCTACTTGTTTTTACACACCATCACCACTGCTGGTTTATAAATGGAACAGCACTGACCCCCCCACCCCCACCCCCCATGCATACTTAAAAACACAACAGTACCCACCTGAACAAGCGCCCACAGCTCCAGTCTTTCTACCTGAACATTACTTCATCGTCCCAGTTCTCTAAAGATATGATAGAGTATATAACAAGCAGAAGTAACTTCTAGGTATTTTAATACATTTCTAAAAAGAACAACTGCTGGTTAAATATTTAAAACAGTAAAAGTCACAACTAACAATAAAGGCAGTACAATGAGTCAGTTAAAAAAGTTAAAATTTCACTTTAAGGAGTGTTGACCGCAATAAAACTCATGTTATCAGTGAATGTTGTCGTTGATGTTCAAAGGTGAAAATCTAAGACGGGAGTCACTGTTGTCTCTGTGTGGCCCTGTGGTGGACAGCAGACCTTTTCCAGATGTACCTCACATCTCAAAGTACTAAATACAGAACACAGATGGATGGTTTAGGTTTTCAGCGTGCTTCAAACTAGAGATCAGCCGCTATTGATTTTCTATTGCCAATACAGATACCAATACGTAGAGGTTATGGTCAGCCGATGGCCGATAAGTGCTGCCAATTTTTTTTCATGATCCATAACTAGAAGTTTTCCATCTTTTCTGCATGCAAAAATGTCACTAATAACAACAGTTGATGCACCAAATTTCTGAAGCTGAATCAGTTTTTGAACACTGAATTTATCAAACAGATCTTATTTTTGTGCACTGCTATGTTGGTAAAATCAGACACCTAACTAGTTAGTCAAACAAAGTATTACCTAGTACTAAATATTCAAAACTGGTAAAATATACATTTTATTTTACATTGGCCGATGCGATATATAAAAAATGGTAAATATCATCTCGATGTTTCGGTTGGGCAATATCGGTCTACCCCTACTTGAAATTCCTAAAAGGAAGTTCTGGACCCATGCCCTGAAAATCATGTCTGCATGACATTAGCTGCATTGTGTCAAGCAGCACGGAAAACGGGTGGGAACTCAAGCTTTGGCATGATGCATTCCTGTGATTAATAAATGAATGAGGCTGTCTCATGTCTCTGCTGTGACCAAGAGTAATTGCTCTCTGATAACAACATGCTCTCCTTGAGGACAGCTTCCTTCAGACTACGGGGGCTGGAAGCGGTGGCACCTGAGACAGGTAGGTCAGAGCCAGGTGCATCTCACTGAACACCTCCCTATCTCTCCTTTGACGCCTGCAATATCTGATTGGTTCTTACTTACCACCACTTAATCACGTCATGATTAAAGTGTCATATCGCTCTCTGTGCTGCCCCTGTGGCGGTCATGTTGGTAGATACCGATCTGAAGCAGTAACATTAAAGGTGCAGTAGGACATGGTACTTTGGAGCTTTTTTGTCATATTGCTCAAAATGCTCTTCCCATGCCAATGGCAAGAAATAAAGCATACTAAAGTGTTTTGTGGTTATTTAAGTGTGGCAGATTAGAAATTATGGCAGAAAAAGTTGCAGCAACAGGTTGAAGACATAAAAATGAACAAACATGGTGGCTTAAGGGGTAAAAGGGGACTGGACATTTAAATTTTGTATTTTCAGAAAGTAGCTTGCTTGAATGGCAAGTAAACAACTCCTACTTCATCTTTGCTAACCTGATGACTGTCAGTCAGCCAGAATCATGGGAAACTTGACTAATAGTTTGACAGGCTATCTTTAGAACAGAGCTGTGCTTCCTGATATAGGCATGTGTTTGTTGGCACACACGGTGTGTTTAAAACACAGATATTTAGTAAGTAAGTAAATTTTATTTATATAGCACTCATCATAGAAAGAGAATCACAAAATGCTTTACAGGGTCTAACAAAACTAAACACATCATAAAGTAATAAAATCATAAAGATCATAAATAAATAAAAATAAGGAAAACAAAGTCATGATATTATTAAATGATCACAAATATCATAAAACAAATGAAATATGACTATAAATTTGAGTTAAAAAGAAAAAAAGATTTAAGTTAAAGCAACTCTACATAAGAGGGCCTTCAGATGTTTTTTAAAGGTTATCACACTGTCAATATGATGTAATAATGAAGGAAGTTCATTCTAAAGTCAAGGTGCAACAGCCTGGAAAGAGCGATCACCTTGACTTTTATATCTGGTCTTTGGAACTTCTAAAAGGTTCTGGTTTCTGGACCTGAGGGCTCAGGTTGGAACATAAGGCTTTAACAATTCAGTAGTATAGGGAGGACTTTGACCATTTAGAGCCCTAAAAGTTCTTGTCATGATTCTAAAATTAATTTTAAAGATAATGGGTAACCAGTGCAGAGATGTCAGAATAGGAGTGATGTGAGCAATTCTGTTTGCTCCTGCAATTAGGAGCTTCTCTGCAGAGTTCTGGAACAACTGAAGGCGGTCAAGGGCTTTTTGTTAAAGTGACAAGTGTGTATTTTTCCTGGTGATGGGGGCAGAGATACATACAGTAAATCATTGCAAGCAGTATTTTTGTGTTGGAGTAAAAGCTTACCAAAGGCATGCCCATTAAGGTCAAAAAGCCCTGGGGAGTGCAAACTTTAGCAAAATAACAAACACATCAGACTCCTGTTCATCACTGGCAACAAGTGAAGAGGTAAATGTGTAAAACAATAACGTTTAAGAATGACGAAAGTTTTGTAACCGTTTGTTACAAATCAGTAAATGTGTTTTGTCCTCATGGGCTCCCGTAGCAGAAAACATGGCATCTAAAATGGCGTCGCCTAGAGACATAGACAATGTATTTTAGACCTGATTTTTATAATTATACATTAAGAAGCCACCAATATTTTTCAACAACTGGGTATCATTCCATTCATTTTCAACATTTTGATGGATACTTCCAGAAATTAATGGTAAAAACTACACATTGTCTCTTTAAAACATGTGAAAATTGTGTTACAGTATTCTAGATGGGAGGTGATAAAGGCAGGGTTGACCATTTCAAGTTCATGTTTCAACACCAACCTTCACAGTTTGGAGATATTTCTTAAGTGATAAAAACTGTTTTGGACCAATGTTTGTGAGTGGCTTCAAGAGACATTGATTGGTCAAAAACAACACCCAAACTGCTCAAGTTTGATTTGACAGCACAAGATAAATGACCAAGTTGTTGACTAATCAAGGGAACCATGCTCTCAGGGGCAATGATCAGACATTCAGACTTTTCAGAGTTTAACTAAAGGAAGTTTTCTTCTAGCCTAGTTCATTAAAATGCACACAATTTCCATCTTGCTGCCAAGTCTCAGTAAGAAATAAATATTCCAACTTTTCTCTGATGAAAAGCTAATTTAAAACAAAGCATTTGTTTGAAATTAGTGTTCCTTCTATCAACTGTCCCTCGGCATTCTTCAAATATCAAAAAATGCCCGTACTTCCGACTTTGTCTTCTTTGAGGGATAATAAATGTCCTGAGCACTGCCGTCTCCTCCTTGGGCCATTATTTCAGCTTTAGCTTCAAGAAAGTTTTGGTTGTAAACAACAAAGCGCGCATGTGCCGCCGGCAACTTCAGCAGATGCTACGGTGGCTGGTAAGGGTCACCGCGCCTACACCGCAGCCACGGTAATCCACCGAGATAATTTTTTTTAAACAAGACGGTTATTATTATTGTCAACTTTTTACCGGGGTTTACCGCTACACCGGTTACCGTGACAACCCTACTCTGAAGAAGTGTTCATTTTAACTCTGAATGTTAATTCTGAACTTTCAAATTTGCTGTGTGGTAATGCAACCAACTTGTTTTATCATAAAGTAATGGCCTCAGATGGCCAGGGCTGCACTTCAAATATATTTTTGACAATTTTCATATAGTTTTTAATAATTATTGATATCAATCAATATGATATATTTTTTTAATCGATAAGCCTTTTTTCTATGTCATCCAGCCCTACCAAGGACACATCAACATAGGTGGGAAACAGCCTGGATGAAACCACCAACCAATCAATTGAAAATAAAAAGTTTACCTGACTCAGCTGCCCTGGATATCAGATCTTTTGTTCACTCTTCCTTTTTTCATCTGAGGAACACTGCTAAGCTGATTCCCATTCTGAATTGAAAGTTGTTATGCACACCTTCATTTGTTCATGTTTGGACTACTGCAAGTCTAAATGATTCAAGTTGATGCCAAAGCCATTTCAAACAAGCTGTTGCCACCACAGTGGCTTCCTGCCTACCAAAATAATAGAGCGTTGTGATTGGCAAGACTCAAAACTATTCAGGGCTGCTGAGGCTCCAATGGAGCATGGTTATATGTTATGTTATAGTAATGCAAAATCAACACAGTACTACAAACAATTATTTGCCCCTAATAACGATGGGTACCGAATTCGGTACTTTTTAAGGTACCGACCGAATTCCATAGTACCGACTGAGCACCGATTCACGTCATTTGAAACGGTGCCTCGTTTCGGTACCCGTCCTTCATAACGAGAACTTGCCTAGACAGCTGCGCATGCGCAAGAGCGTTACGTCGTCGTCGCTGCGAGCCAGTTGTAAACAGAGCAGCATGGTAGAAAGAACGCACGCTAAAGCTTGGGCCCACTTCACTAAATGTGATGGGTAACTGGGTGATGATGAAACCAGCGACAGACAACGATCTAAGTGAGACATCATCTTAATCTGCTCCGGTAGGTCACAAAGGACTGTAAAGCTAAGTGTGCTGCTCGTTTTTTATGGGGGTGTTTTTAGCAGGGAGGTTAGTTTTATTGGTAGAAGAAGAAGAAGAAGATATCATTTCTATAGCGCCTCTCAAGATAAAAATCCCGAGGCGCTTGTTGGTGCAGGGTATTTGTGTGTTAATAATGAACCGCTATTGTGAACCAGTGTCTGGTGGTTATTCGAAGGTTCTGACAAGGACAAGATTTCTGTCCATAGCCAACCTGCAGTATAATTACTACATATATCTATATATATATATATATATATATATATATATATATAGATATATGTATAAAGAAAGGCTTGCAAACGGCAAAAATGCAGGAAACCAATGTGTTTGGGATAAATAAATATGCAGGTGGTCCAGTGTACAAATCTACATCCTGATCATGCGTAAATGATGTGCAATTACACAGAAACTGTAAATTGTTACATATGTGGTATAACTTACAACAATTTGGAACAGTCAAGCATAAACTCATGAACAAAATCTGATGCACTGATGCTGAGGATATCTGCCAGAAAATCACTTTCACTTCTAAATAAGGTTAATGCTTAGTATATTTGAAGCATTTGTTCGTTTTTAAAACAGAAAAGTTACAAAAAGTGAATCTGAACAAGTGTGTAGTGTTTTATGTTGGTGTTTGGCATGAAGGAAAGTGAGAATCTTGAATTTAAACCCAGTGGAAAGCACTGGTCCTCCTATAGCTCGCTACTCCATCCTCTACGGAGGAGGAACGAATAGGAAGAAAGGAACGTTGATGGGTTCTCTATTTTCAACAATAGCCCACGTTGGCGGTAAATACGAACCTTTCGAACAGTATCCTTACAGCAAAAATCCCCACAGCAAGCGGCAGAGCAGCCAACAAGTGTCCAGCTTTGGGATACTCCACCCCGGGTGCTGGGTCGGCCAGATCCGCCCAGGTTACGTTGTGTGGCAGCCAAAACCTCTCGTTCCAGAACCAGGCTGAAAGAGCAGCCATGTTTTACCGCCGTCCTGGTGCCCGTGTAGTCGGAGCAACGTGGTTTATTTAAAAAAGGCTCCGTTAAACTTGTATAGCCGTATCTTCCTCCCTTATGTCACTTGTTTGATGACTTGCTACACTCAACTTTACCGCACCAAAGTGAAGTTTAACGGAGGAGAACTCTACTTCCGTTTTGGCTTTTCAAAATAAAATGTTGTTCTTTTGATTTCAAAACAATTAGTTTTCAATCAAATCCCTATTTTTGAGTTTCTTCTTTATATTTCTAAGACATCTGCGATGTGTAGTTTATCTTGTTGACAACTGAGCTCAATGGAAAATTATTTTTCAAACTGGGCTTTTAAGTTTTATTTTGAAGCGAGCATAACACTGTTTCCGGTTATTTTGGGAGCATTTGATTGGTCTTGGATGCCGCCCTTAGATGATGACTGGAATTGAGGAAGTGAGGCGAGCCCCTCCCCGCTGAAGGCTGAAGGGATGGGTGAAGCACATGCATGCATGTCATTCATCTCAGCTCAGCTCATTTCAGTTTAATTCCTGGAGTCGGGCTGTTGTCACATTTTAGACTGCATCCGCTTTAATAAGCTTTCAGAGGTTCACCACCACTCATCATAACGTTATTTTTAAAAAGATATGTGAAGAGAAGGAAGGAAAGAAATGATGGGGACGAGTTTATCGATGTGATTGCACACCCAAGTGCTCAAAAAGTGTATTGCAACTAGATTGTTACATGTTATTCAACCTCTTGATTTACACAACATATTTTCATTTCACCCCTCTCACAATTTTAAAATGATCCATCAAACTGTGGTTTTAATGCAAATCGGCATCAATCCATTTGCTTGTGTTGTCATGTTGGAATGAGGCAGCTGCATTTCTGTCTGCTCTAATTATAGATGGACATTTGCCGCTTTTGGAGCGTGTTATTAGATATCTCATAGGGCATTTGGCTCAATAACTATTCAAAAGATCTCGGTAAATTAATGTGAATTTAACAAGTGAAAAAAATCACACTATATACTAGTCAAAAACTTAATACATTTGTTTAAAAAACACACTTTCAACTAATCAGAGCTTATCAGCTGGGGTGATTTGATAAATCAGCACACTTGAAGGGCAGGGTGTGTGAAGTTTGAGCTCAGAGCCAGAGAGGGGAAGAAACACTTTTTTTCCAGTTTAGTGAAGAGATAAAAGTAGAACATTTTATTTGAATGATTATTAAACTATTATGACCGGACAAACTTATGGAATGAATAATAATAATAAATCATAATCAGTGCAGAGATTCCCCTCTGAAGGCTGACACAGGTCATGCTCTTAAAGAAAGGCTGATCTCAACGCTGAGGAAAATGGTAAAGGTGAAGAGTTTAGAATGGCAGCGCGGCTGAACGCAGGTCAGATTACATTCAGTCGCCTTTCCAGTGTGCACAATTTAGTGGGTCATGCAGGCACCAGCAAATGAGACATCTTAAAGGTGTGGAAGACTGAAAAAAAATCTGAATGATTATTTCTGATTATGTGCTGTCACTGAGTTTTCATGCAGGCTGAACATGAAAATAGTCTCCTACACCTATCTCCTGCATTAGCTTCTAATAGAAAATAGATGGTGAAACTTTCTTGAAAATCGACACAAATCTACGTCAAACTGTCACGTAACATTCATGGACTCACCCCTCTTGGCTCACAACGGGGAAGGCTGATGTTGGTTTAGCATCCAGGAAACAGCAGAGAATGTCTCCACTACTAGAAGCTAATTGTTAGCATTAGCAACTTCACCACACGGCAGAAGCTCCTCTGGCTTGTGGTATTTGTGGAGATAAAACATCAATGTTGCAAATCAGTGGTAGTCACATTGCTGTTAGCCAATCTGAGGTGAAATGTTCAAGGAAATAATACTCAAATTCTGCCATCTGAAGCTCAGTTCTGATTTAGTGCACCAGAGCTTTTATTCCCAAGGCATTCATTCCCACTAGAGATCACAAGTACACCACATCTTTATCGGACACAAATTAATACAGGGTTTGATGGTTTATTGAAACATACAGATTCAGTTTTTGACGTTCAAATTAAAAACATTTTGAAGGAGTATTTTTTTTTATTTCTTTCCCAGGGCTTTGCTTTCCTTCGGAAAGCATACAAATGAATGAAAAGGCACTTTTCTTTAAGGAGTCTTGTGAGATTTCATAAGACTGAGGTCACTGTAAGTGTATCGGTCTGTTTAAGGCACACTCAATCAAATTCTTCACATGTTCAAGACTTGGAAGATTTAAGCAATAATTTATCCATCCACTGTCAGAACCCGCTTTGTCCATGTAGGGTCGCGGTTGGGGGGGGGGGGGGTGCGCTATCTCCAGTGGTCAATGGGCAATCAGGCGGGGTACACCCTGGACAGAGAGCCAGTCCATCGCAGGGCAACACAGAGACACACAGGACAAACAACCATGCACACACACACACACTCACACCTAAGGACAATTTAGACAGACCAATTAACCTAACAGTCATGTTTTTGGACTGTGGGAGGAGGCCGGAGTACCCGGAGAGAACCCCCGCATGCACAGGGAGAACATGCAAACTCCATGCAGAAATATCCCAGGCTGGGAAGCGAACCCAGGACCTTGCGATAATTTATAAATCAGTACAAACAGAAACACACTCAGAAACTTGGATAGGTGAAGGATAGCTGCTGCTCGTTCCTTTTTCTGATAAGGATCCAAACTATGATCCAAAAAAAAAGAGATGAGTCAGGATCAGGGCCAAAGTCATCCAGATTGGGTGTCCTTTAACATCTAGCAGCTCTGGTGTAAAAGTCTTTCCTAACTTCCATCCATTCGCAAGTCCTCGTGTCAGTCTTTCACATGTGCTCTGGGTGGTTTTGCAAACACTTGATGAAATCTGTGACTGGGTGGCTGTTGAAGCAAATCTCATGAACAGCAGTGAAAAGAGGAAACCTGCAATAGAAAAAAAGCATGAAGGAAAACAACGTAGGAGAAATGTTAATACCTATGCTGTGATTTATTAGCATAAAAACTGAAAGCAAGTGGGGAAAGTCAACATATCTTGGTCTGAATATTATTTAGGGGACCTTTGAGGTTCTGGAAATCATGTGCATTTTTATGTATTGTTATGCAAACAATCAAACTCTTGCAAGCCGAATCCTTTATAAACAGCACCCATTAAAGGTGCACTATGCAACTTTTTCTTATTTATTAATCATTTTCTTGAGTCAGTATGTGCTAAAATAACCCATAATACAATATCACTCAGTCCCCCACCACCCTCTATGGCCAGAATATTGCACTTAAAGTGGAGCTGATGTGCAAGTGTTGCAGTCTGCTTCCAGCAAGTTTCCTGCATGTTTTAGATTTTTAGACAGCTGATTTGTTTGATTTAGTGATGAATCACTCCTGTAGAAACTAATGAAGACTGAGGGCACATTCCAGCTGTTAGATTAAGGTGTTAAAAAGACAAACGCACAGAAAGGAGATAAGTTTCATTTTTGGTTTTACTAACGGACACGACATAGTATTCCATTAAGACTTACTTGTCCAACATGTTTTTCTGTTTTAAGATCTGGTGCACTTCGCTTGCTGTGGCCGGACCCTGAAGCTTCTGTCCGTTCAGCAGCTCCATCTCTAACTGCTCAATGCTCTAAAACATGAAAATGTGTCATTAGATGTTTATAAAAACACACACGAAGCAAATCAGTGTTGTCCCATACTTTGCCTGTTTTAGCAAACGCTTCTCCAATCTTGCGATTGCGACCCCCGTAGCAGGTTGTGATGAGGTCGGCGACGCCGCAGCTCTCAAGAAAGGTGGTGGGGGACACGGGACAGTTTGTGCAGAAGACCTTGGCGAAGGCGATCATCTCCATTAGGCCAAGACGAATCACCGCCGCTTTGGTGTTGTCGCCAAATCCAAGGCCATCGCAGAAACCAGCTCCCACTGCCACAATGTTCTACAGAGACAATAAAATGGAACAAGTGGGCTGAAATGTTCAGAGAAGAAATGTTTGTAAAAAACAATTTTCGGTTTGCAGCCGTCATGAGTTGGTGTTTGTAAAATGCACCTATATGTGCATGCATCATGTTAAAGCATTTAGCATCTCGAAAACGTTTCAACTCATGAAAAGCAACATTTATTACTATTTGTAAATTAGAAAAAATATTTTTGAACAGCTCTAAAAGATTTTACCGTATTTATGCACCATTTAGTTCAAGTAAAGAAATTTAAATGTATGTTGTCTAGAAGAGAAACCTTTAATGCCCCACAAATCTCCACAACATCTGACTCCTCCACCACGGTCACACGGAAGTTGGTGGTCTCCATCAGCTCCTTCAGCAGCGACCCATATGACTTGTCCCTGCACCCTGAATGAACAAACGTCACCACCAACTGTTTACATGCTCACTTGTGATAGTTCCACAAACATTTATATGCAACCTGAAGGCAAGGAAAGGCCCTCATACCAATAGTTGTTTCGCAAAACTTTTCATCAGCAACCTCATTGGCAATGTTTGCACCCATGAGGACGGTCATAGTGATGCTTAGTTTGCTTCGGATGACCTCTGAGATGAGCTTCAGACCCTCAGGACCTGCGTCGACACCCTGAAGACGTAAAACCCATGTAACCCATGTAAAATAGAGAAGAAACAGATGGATGTGGGTTTTTCTATTGCCAATAAAAGAGGAAGGGTTAGAGGGCATCGTTTCTCCAAGTGAAAGCTTGAAATAATGGGTTTCATTCAGCCCAACCTTGATGAGAGACATTCCCACAGCATCCTTCTTCATGTGATCCTTGATGGTTTCACACACTCTCCCAATGAACTGGTGAGGAACTACAAAGATCAGGATGTCGGCTCCTTTCACAGACTCGGCTAAGTCTGGAACCGCCACCTAATTAAAAGAAAAGAGATGATATGGGCTATTAGCTCACGAGAAGAGAAGTCACAGATGTTAGAGACAGACTGTGTTGACACTCACCACGTTGGCAGGCAGCTTGTGACCGGGTAGGTACTTCACGTTTTCATGATCTGTGTTGATGATTTCTGAGAGCTTACGGCCATTCACCGTCTCCTCAAACACCCACATGTTCACCGTGGTGTCAAACTTGTCATATCTGGCTGCGTTGGCGCCAACAATCTTAGCTATGGCAGATCCCCTGTGGACATAAGGATTCACAATAACCATCCAGCTGTCAGGACACTGGCTGACTCTTAAAAGTTGTCAATAATCTCCATTAATGGTGCAGAAAAATAAAATATATTTGATTTTCAAACTCAAAGATTTACTCAAAGGTTATTAATTTGGTATTAGGTTCTGCACAACATATTAAAGTTTTTTGTCATTGCAAAATCAATGTTTGATTAATCAATATCTGTAATAAACTTTAGAAATAAACCATATTCTTTTAATAACTTGAGTTCATTTAAATAGGTTTAAAAGGTTCAGATAAAAATTAAAGTAATGCTATAAAACACGAGAGAGATGTGAGGAAAAGGAGGGTTTATCGCAATTATTGCCATCACGGTTTCCAAAAAGAATATTACAATTTCTCAATATTGTGTTGCTGTGTAGTAATAACATAATTATAACTGATAACAAGCCAGTGCCTGGGGCTTAAGGATCACATGATAAATGAACCTTGGAGTTCTGACTTGTTTCTGCAGAAAAGACTCTGAGGTAATGCGGTCAGCTGCATGCAGGAGAGTCTAAATGTCAGGTTGGCTGAGGGATATCAACACACTCTGAGGCTGATTCAGCACAGATCCTGCAGAATTTCTAAAATGTCATCTTCGATAAAGATTTCACACTTAATGTTGAAGGGTCAGCAGAAGATACAGAAAGAATCCAGTCTGCAGATTCGCAAAAAAAAAAAAAAAAAAAAAAGAGCAGCTTTACAAAGTTTATGAACCATTGGTCAGCAGTTAAGAAGTTAACATTCTCTTCTGCAGCTGCTTTTCTTTAAAATGTCAAGCTTAAACAGCTGTCTGAGCTAAACTGAAAACTCTCACTTACCAGTTACCAGAGCCGATCACGCAGACTTTCTTAGGAGCTGCCATCATGTGCTCGACTTTCCAAACAGAGCTGCTGTGTGTGAAGACAGGCTTACCACCAGGTCAGAATGGATTTATAGCAGAGCCTTGGCTCTGGAACTCCCTCTGCTGATGATTGGCCCGATCTGTCGCCTTTCAGAGGCAAACAGGAGCAGCAGGATGACCAGAAGTCCAGAGTTACAGCAACATTTGTTCAGTCTTTGTTTTACTTTTGATTACCAACAAACCACGGTAAGTCAGACTTGATCACGTCACTGTGAGCTGAAAGGATTAGCTGATTCACAATCAAACTGTTCCTCTTTGCATCTAACATAAAGTAAGTAGACTGGTACACTGTAAACCTGAGGTTATTGACTTGTGACCTCTTACAAAATAAACCACAATAAGCCCTTACATCAAAGAGATTCTTCTCTATGGTCAACAGTTTCAGAATCACTTGCTTTAAAAGTGAGTGAAGTCAAATTTTATTATTTTCATTTAATTCAATTTATTTTATCACCTTCCTGATCTGATTTTCAAACAACACTATGGAGCTAGGTTAGGGACAATATGTAACTTGTAACATGTGTTGTATCTTTTGTTTTGTAGCATGTAATTCATGTTTTGTGACATGTAATTCTCGTTTGTAATAGGTAATTCTTGTTTTGCAACAAGTAATTTTCATTTTGTAACACGTAACTTTTGCCTTGTAACACGTAAGTTTTGCTTTGTAACATGTAACATTTGGTACGTAACATGAAACTTTCATTTTGTAACTTGCAGAAAAAAACTATGTACACATCTGAAGTCACAACTCACAAAACACATATCTCAGTCTAAATTAAAAACACTCAAATCTACATATACAAAACACGTTGTCCCAATTTTAGCTTCCTTCCCAAAGAACCAATGACAGGCTTTGTCTAATCAGCCAATTATGTGTTGATATGAAATCCTGCTCTAATTCAAAATGTAAGTCCTTTATTTACATCAGTTTCATTTCTCTAAAAATTACTGTCAACTACTACAAAGTGAGAATGTAAGAATGTTTGGTTGTGGGCAGTACAACAGACCTCTGCCCTCCTGCCATGATTGGGCAGGAATCCAAGACTCGGGCTGCTCAGACAAAGCCTGTCATTGGTTCTTTGGGAAAGAAAGCTATAATTGGGACAAAATGTTTTGTAACAGGTAGATTTAAGTTTTGTAACTGTAGACTGAGATGTGTGTTTTGAGAGTTGTCATTAGAAACTTGTCAATTCATTTTTTTCCTGAAAGTTACAAAATAAAAGTTTCATGTTACTTAACAAATGTTACATGTTACAAAATGAGAATTACATGCAACAAAATGAAAGTTACGTGTTGCAAAACATGAATTACATGCTACAAATTGAAAGTTAGTTACAAAACATTTTACAAGTAAAAAACTTGCTACAAGTTGTCCCAATCCTTGCTCTACATGAAACCATCTGTTTTTCTCAGATTTACATATACCTTTTTTTTGGTAACAAAGTGACCTTGAATCCTTTATTTCCTTGTTCAGCTTAATTATTTTGAATTGTATACACTAATTCTCAATTCCCTCACTTTGGTTTTACATTTGTTTTTCAAAGATTTTAGTTCCTTTCAGATCATATACTACATGTTCTGATTTCCAACATTCTCTTTTGTTTGTTGGTACAGTATTTGCATTAACTTTATACATTGTATTACACTGCCCAGATCAAAAACAAGTCGCCACCTGGATTTAACTTGGCAAACAGGTAGGTAGGAGCCTCTTATTGGATAATTACTGCATTGGCAACTATCTTTCGGCTAGCAAGAAGTTATTCAGCCCCAGCTGGCACAATGAGTTGCTCTCATTTCTTCAACAACCATATGGAAAGACACATCTGGTGGTCATGAAAAATGAGTTTGAAAATGGTTAAATCACTGGCATGCACCAAGCAGAGAAAACATCCAAGGAGACAGCAGAAATGTCTAAAACTGGGTTAAGAACAGTCCAACACATTAAAAACTGGTCTGATGAGTCCAGATGGATCCTGTACCAGAGGGATGGTGCATCAGGGTAAGAAGAGAGGCAGATGAAGTGATGCACCCGTCATGCCTAGGGCCTACTGTACAAGCCTGTGGAGGCAGTGCTATGATCTGGGGTTGCTGCAGTTGATAGTCTAGGTTTAACAACAGGATGTGCTCCAAGAATAAGGTCAGCTGACTACCTGGATATACTGAAGGACCAGGTTTTTCCATCAATGGATATTTTTCTTCCTTGGTGGCACGGGCATATTCCAAGATGACAATGCCAGGACTCATTGAGCTTAAATAGTGAAAGTGATTCAGGAAGCATGAGACATCATTTTCACACATGGATTGGCTACCAGAGTCCATACCTCAACCCCACTGAGAATATTTGGGATGTGCTGGAGAAGGCTTTGAGCAGCAGACTGCCATCATCAATGCAAAATCTTGCTGAAAAATGAATGCAACACTGGATGGAAATAAATCTGGACAATGAAAAAGTGTAATGAAACAATGTGTGCTGTAATCAAGGCTAAAGGAGATCCATCAAAAATATTAGTGACACTTTTTGTGGCCAGGCGGTGTAATTCCCAATAAATCACAAAATTTCAGTTTGTTACATGTGGAACCCTAAAATACAGTTTAAGTGTGGACTAATCAAAGATTTAGTGTTAACAGTCCAGAACTATAGCAATTTTAATGTAACCTAGATATGCTGTTCATGAACGACTTCATCAAAGTGATGATGGAAAGACGGACATTTATTTAACATATCCTTTATTCTAACATAAAAACATACAGAAAAAAGGTTTGGTCCGTGAAAAAAGGTCTCCAGATTAACATAATTCAACAGTCCATCAAGGTTGAGGTTCCAATCACTTCAGCTCTTGCTCCTCTGCAAACCCACTGTAGTGTATTCTTGGAATTTATACATCATCACCCCCCCCCCCCCCCCCACCCCACACACACGACAGGAGTGACGATTTGACCTGGAAATGCTCTAAATCTGCTCTGTCACTCGTTTAAATACGCAAAACTGAAAATGCAGGAGTTGAACTATTTCACTTTAAAGTGGGGCAAACCTGATGGCATGTTGCTGCACACTGGGGCGCCACCTTAAATTTGATGAACAAATCCAGGCCGTAAAGAGCCAAATCGCTGTACGAGAGAGAGCGAGGGCTGACAAAAATAAATACTGTTTCAACTATTTAAGCAAACACTTAAAAAAAAGATCAGCCACTTTTAGAGAAACGTTTTAACTTCACAGCCATCTGAAGTGGTGTTTTTGCCGAGTATTTACACAACTGTATAGACTAGAGGTACCCATACTAGCTACTTTCATTATACCTGTACTAGCTAACAAGACAAGTATGGATAACACATACTTATAAAACAAAGCTCACTAAGAGTAAGAAAAGAAAATTATAAATGACATCATAGCAAAAAGGCAACATGAACAAATATAACCGCTTTGCCACAAATATGCATGTTCTACTGTTTCACTGAGCTTCAAAATGCCTCTCGTAAAGACCATGACTCTGCCAAAACTAACAACTGAACACAAAGTGACCAATGAACAGCCAATATGCAGTAAAATAAGCTCGGCTGGTCACAATCACAATATTTACCTCACGGGAAAGCATTTAGATGCCCGTCAGGAGGATTAAATGTTGTTTTATTCCATTAAATTTTAACAAAGAGCTCAAAATTCTTACTTCACAAACATCCCATTTAAAGTGTCCTGATACAATCTGCCCTCTGCTTTTCATTTGGGAACAATTTGTGCAGAAAGTGGATGAAAATAAAAGGAATGCATCCAAGTAAAAACAAACTGGTGCGTAGAGGTGTGGCTGACAAAGGAAAACCTTAAGCTCTAATCTGAAGCTGCTGCTAAAATGAACATGGAGAAATAAAGTTTTTAACAGTAAAGTCATCTATCTAGGGTTAACGTCTCTACTGTCTGAAAACTGTGAGGACTTCAGTTTGAACATCCCACACACACACACAGAGGTCATCTCCAGCATCAGAACTCGTTCCACCTTCATGTGGAAAAGCTCCTTCAGGTGTTCCTGATGCCGAGCGCCTGCTCCAACTCCTGTCGCCTCTGCTGTACCTGAGAGATGAGATAAAACCATCTTTAGATGTCTTAAAACGGGAAAACTCTAAATGCATCAAAGTTTTTCTCCTGCTATCCTGCAGAGCAACATTTATTCTACTCAGCGATGCTGTTGCACTGGATTCGCCACAGTCAAGCTAACGTTATAAAAACACGAGGAAAAAAAAAAGGGAATCTGACTTTAATACACAAGAGTTTCAGATTCACCTCTGTTAAAAATGTTAACATTTCAAGCCAATAAACTCTGGTGCAAATCACTCTGAAAGTCCAAAGTAGCTTCAGTGTTTCCCTTACATAGGCGTAGCCGTGGTGGCCCGCCACGCCTACAATCCCAAGTTTTATTGATTTTTAATTTATTTTTTTTGCACCATTTCCTGAAGAAGCAGTGGGAATTACTCTGTTGTTGCTTATTTCCCTCTGGGATTAATAAAGTATCTTTGATTTGATCACAGCCGGCAGGTAGCAAGGAGGAGGGTAGGGTCGTTACAGCTAGGGATGAGCCGGATCCCCCCACCCACACCCCACACACACACAGCTGGAAAATTTCCGAGGGGAAACACTGAGCTTTGCTTAAAAACAAAGAGGAATAGAAAAGAAAAAATTACTTTGGAGTAGAAGTAGCGGCAGACAGCCTCCTGAGCCCACGGTTGGTAGTAAAACTCTGCTCTTCGCTCCTCTTCTGGGTTTCCCACCACATCAGTCATCGTCTATAAACAAAAGAGAAGACAGTGATCCAGACTCCGACAAACCTCAACCCTCTCGAGGCAGGCGCTGCAGATTTGCATCAGTTAAAAACTACCTACCCGGTTACTCCACATACGTATTTCATGACCATTTTATAAGTCAGAAGTACCCTTGAAGAACTTAAATGTTCGTTCTGTTACCAAAGCTTAACTTAAGCCTGAGAGGCTTAACTTTAGTCTGTTAAAACCATTTTCTTGCTGCTTCCAACATGAACAACACATGTGACAAGCAATAAAAGTGGATTCTGCTGCGACGTCCTGAACTCACCTTGAAGTCTCGGCACTGAGACTGAAGCCAGTCGTTGATGAAGCCCTGAGGGTCTCTGGCAAAACTCAACATGAACTCCCGTTGGGTTTTCAGTTGGTTGATGGTCTCGATTGTTTCATGGATCTGAGAAAAATTGGACAGACGTTTGATCACTTTGAAGCTCCTAATGAGGCGAATTAGACAGCAGACTACTAATAACCTAAAGGAGAGTGTCTCCTGTTTAAGTGTTATCAAACGGTGTCCAACAAACATTTATTCCATCTCATGTGAGATATAGCCTGTATTAAGATGCATAGCAGTTTTATTTTTAACCAACAGGTGATGCAGTTAGCCAAACCTGTGAAAGTCTCCACCACGTCAGAATACCTCACAGGAACCAAAGCCAGAATAGGTAAGACAGAAGAGTGGCGCCTGTAAACTGTACATAACCCCGCCGTTTTTATGTTAGGTTGTCTCAGAACAAAGATAACACTCTGTAACATCCTTCACCGGGACACCGCTCTGCCTTATGTCTGGGATTACAACCGTTCCAGTCAAGGTAACATCTGCTAGCAGGAGAAGAGCAAGACCCGAGCAGGAAACAAGAGCAGCTCTACGCAGGCGGCAACTTCTAACAAATAAATGGGTGTGAAACTGTTCTCAGTGGGACAGGATCGCAAATATTTAATTAAAAAACAACCTTAAAATCAATCCAGTAAAAACAAATTCACACTAGGGTTGTCACGGTGTGAAAATTTAACCTCACGGTTATTGTGACCAAAATTACCACGGTTTTCAGTATTATCGCGGTATTTTTTTAAACATGCTACATTTTCACACAATTAAATAAACCCTGTATGTCAGGAAATATTCTCCTCAGTTTGTGTCTAAATTTTGCCTAAAATGTGTTATTTTGTAATTATGTTTTTTATTTGTTTACATTTTTGCCCTTTAGTCTTTAAAATACCAATATTTGCCCATAACTTATTTTTTGTCTGATGTCATCTTTTTAAAAATATTAGATCAGATGATACTCAGTACTCAAGTAGCCTTCTAATCAGATACTTTTTTACCCTTACTTGAGTAATAAACCCTATATCAGGAAAATATTGTCCTCTGTTTGCGTCCTTCCAGTGAGCTTTGCAGATGTGGGAAAATGTCATAAATTCATAATTATTCTCGGAGAGAGACCAACTCTTATCTGCCCCTGGGAGCCCCGTAATGCATAGCGTCATTTCAGTATGGCGGTGTACGCGACATGGTTTATATGCAGGTAGCGGCGCTGCGGATGCTTTAAATAGCGACTCGTTGCATTCTCCCTCAACCCAAATCCTCGGATCACGCATTTTAGCTAAAACGCTAACGTTAGCTTGCCTTGCGTTGACTGTAGAGTTGTGGGTGATGGTCACGCAGATGTGTCATGAGATTTAAAGCGTTGCTGCCTTTCACAGACACTTTTTCTGCACGTGCTGCAAACAGGATAGCCGTCTTCTATCAAATGTCCCTCGGCATTCTTCAAATATCCAAAAAATGCTCGTATTTCCCACTTTGTCTTCTTTGAGGGATAAAAAAATGTCCTGAGCACTGCCGTCTCCTCCTTTGGCCATTATTTCAGCTTTAGCTTCAAGAAAGTTTTGGTTGTAAACAACAAAGTGCGCATGTGCCGCCGGCAACTTCAGCAGATTATACGGTGGCTGGTAAGGGTCACCACGCCTACACCGCAGCCACGGTAAACCCACCGAGATAATAGTTTTTTTAAGAACAAGACAGTTATTATTATTGTCAACTTTTTTACCGGGGTTTACCGCTACACCGGTTACCGTGACAACCATAATTCACACATAATAAATCATAAAACACGTTTTTTATATTTAAGATAGTGCTGCACAATATATCGAAAAATGATCATCATCGCGATAACAGGACGTGCGATAGGCCCATCGCAAAACACGGCAAAAACAGCGATAAATGTTTGGTCCAAACATTTCCATCCGTGTCATACATCAGCTTTTTGTAAACCAGCTCTGTTTTTTACGCAGAAGTATTATTTGACCAATCAAATGTAGTCCTTCTGACATGCGGCCAATCAGATGGTTCCGTTCACGTAATACGCCCGCCCCCCACATAGACCCTTTTGGAACGCAACACCCGAACAGTTTGCGGCGCTGTTCCCTTGTTCGTCATGCTGGCTCAGAGCAACTAACACACTTTGTGCTGATGTTTCTGGATTCAGCGCTGCTTTCAAAAGTGAACGTGACTCCACTCAGTGTCGTTAATCATTTTTACCGGGCTGACTCCGACACGTGCCGATGAACCAACCCACCTTCATGTCGCTAGTGTTAGCCCCAGGCTCCGGGTAGCTTCTAGCTAAAAGGCTACAGCACTCTCCTCCCAGTCCCACCCTGCTAAAGAGGGCTTGGAAAAGTTCCCCCAAACATCAAAGTGATTTTTCGTTTATGAGCTTTTATAACCTTGTTAATCAGGATAGTTAATTTGCTGCTGCACATAAACTCAGTCAGAAGCTCTGCTAGCCGGTTTTTTTAAGAGGAGCTAGTTCAATTTGTTAGCTTGTTATCAGAATCATAGTTGCAGTTTCATCATCTGAGCTGCTTTTTAAGATCCAGGTAAACTTGTTCAATTTGGGGTTAAAACCAAACGTTTTCACATATTTTCCATGTAGTTTATTTTTTGCCAGTTCCTCTTCTGAAAGGTAGACAATTGTTTTTCTCTTTCCCTCAGAAAATGTTAATTTTCTCCTAGTTTGGCCCAGCACAGATCACTTCCCAATTACAGCAACAGCCTTATATCATAACCACATAAGCGGAGAAAATGTTCAGTAGCAATGAGAGAATTTGCTGTTGCATTTAAGTGATGTTAAATATTATTTAACATTTTAATTTATTTTCTGATTTTTTTAATTCAAAAATCCTGGTAAGGGATGTTTTTCTGTATTTGGAGCATCAGAAAAAGTTTTATGGTGGTGGTGATGTTTTAAAGTCACTGAGAAACTGCACGTATGCAGTTTGTTGTTTTGCTGCTATTACAGTAGCAGGTGCAGCTGCATATTTTTGCAATAAAAATGTTATGTTGTAATGGAATTCATGCATTAGTTTTTGTTTGCTTTAAACCCAGAGCAGACGTCACACGCCAGACAACATCAACACTGCATACTTTAGTATTTGTTCATTTATCGCGAGTAAAATCGATATCGCAATATTAAGCACTATTATCGAATATCGCAGGTTTTCCTAATATCTTGCAGCCCTAATTTAAGAGATTATCACTGAAGTAGGACCTCATGCTTTATAAAATACCACCAAACTTCCAAGAAACAACATCATCTGACAGTGGATACAAAACTGTTCCAGCAAATATCTACAAAAAAGAACAGAACAGCTAAAGGCTGGTGGCCGAGGTCCTCACCTTGTTATCCAATCCTGCTATTTCCTGCTGACTAGCAGTGGAGAGCAGGAAGGAGTTCATCTGTGTTTTCAGGGTGTCATCCACCTCCACATCAATGTCATAGCAAGCAGTCTTTTTCTGGTCATTGGGGTCCACGCTAGTGAAATGAAAAGCATCGTTGTGTGCTTGAATTTAACATTTATTCAAGTACTTAAGAGTCTATTTTAAGTATTGAAGATTAATTGTCAAAGCTGCAGAAATAAAATATAAGGGTCATTTAGAGGCAGTGCTGACACTTGACTCTACCCGAAACCAGCGCAATAATTACCTGATCACGTGGTTAATGATGATTGGTTCTGGAGGCATCAGCAGTGCGTGCAATCGCTGAGGGATTTCAGAAAACTTCATCCGCTGGGTCTCAAAAATCTGTGACATCAAAGAATGATGTGGTTTTAGTTTGAATAAATTGCTCTTTTGAAACTGAACACGATGGACTGTGTTTTTTTAGAAGTGTAAAACTAATCAGCAAATCAACACGCAGAACATATCCATTTCCTCTGGACGTAGCT